AATTTATTCATGATTAAAAGCTATAAAATATTCTACAGCAAAATAGGTATGAAAAGGTGCTTCTTAACCTGAAAAAGATGTGCCAAAACCTTTAGTAAATATCATTGTTTTTCTGCAAGATGTACTAAAATCTTTATTAACGAATATATCTCTTGACTTAACAAATTTTCCCCAGTTACCTTGATCAAATAAATACGGAAAGCTTGTTAGAAAGTGTTGGTCATATATCTATTACTTATTAACTAGTAACAAAATTAGTTTTGTTACTAATGATATAGCTTGTTAATTAGTTACAATATTAGTAACATCCACAAAGTCCAATAACTGGTAAACAAGGTTTGGCATGTTCATGTGAAATAACACTTGGTAAGCATGGAAATAATTACATAAATGTACACTTAGTTATATGAAACTATATTATTGGTATATTGTGGGTTTTCTAAATATTTTTAATTGATATATAGTTATATACAATATTATATTAGCTTCAAGTATACAACACATTCATTTGGCAGTTATTTACATTATTAAATGCTCACCCCAACTACTGTAGTTACTGCCAACATAGAAAGATGTTATGGAACTATTGACTATATTCTGTATGCTATACTTTCATCCCTGTGACTAATTTATATTTTTGAGATTTTGTGCCTTTTTATCCTCTTCACCTATTTCACCCGCCCACCCCAAATCCTCCCCCATGGTGACCACCAGTCACTTCTCAGAGTCTTTTACCATTTTGTTCTTTTTTTTGTTGCTTTGTTTTTAGATTCCGCATATAAGTGAAATCATATGATATTTGTCTTTCTCTGCCTGGCTTATTTCGCTGAGCATACTACCCTCTAGATCCACCCATGTTGTCACAAATGGCAGGATTTCTTTGTTTTTTATGGCTGACTAACATTCCATTGTGTAAATGTACCACCTCTTCCTTATCCATTCACCATTGATGGGCACTTTGGTTGTTTCCATATCTCAGCTATTGTAAATATTGTGGCAATAAACTTAGGGGTACACGTATCATTTTTAATCAGAGACTTTATTTTCATTGGGTAAATTCCTAGAAGTGGAATTGGAATTACTGGGTCAAATGGTATTTCTGTTTTTAGTTTTTTGAGGAACCTCCATACTGCTTTCCACAGTGGCTGCACCAATTGACATTCCCACCAACAGTGCAGGTGGGTTTCCTTTCTCCACATCCTCACCAACACTTGTCATTTCTAGTCTCTTGTATAGTGGCCATTCTAACCGGTGTGAGGCGGTATCTCAGTGTGGTTTTGATTTGCATTTCCCTGATGATTAGCGATGCGGAGCAGCTTTTCATGTGCTCATTAGCTATCTGTATTTCTTCTTGGAAGAAATGTCTGTTCAGGTCCTCTA